GTGATATGTCTACATTGCGGAGGTTTTTTTTTTTTTTTTCTTTTTTTTTGGAAGAACGGCTGCTTTTCTGAAAATACTCCAGTTACATCCAACTGCAATCGCAATTTTCTGAAAAAAAAATTGAAAGAACAGAGGGTTTTTTCTGACACTGGTAAACCTCTTTCTACGAGAAAGAAGCCTATTTTCAAAAGAGCTCTTTCGGAAAAAGGTCTGTGTGGATGGGGAAGAGGGAGTTCTTTCATAAGAAGAGGAAAGAGGAAAAAGCACAGGTGCCCTGGTGGCCACTCCATCCATAGTAATCACAGCTTACATGTGAGAGAGCGTCCATTCAGTGTGGACGCTATCTTTCGAAAAAGCAGATTGCTTTTTTGATGTGCTTTGGCATTGTGGACACTCTCTTTTGGAAGAAGTTTTTCTGGAAGATCTCTTCTGGAAAAGCATTTTCCGAAAGAAGCCTGCAGTCTAGACGTAGCCTCAGTTTCAGAGTTCCAGAGATGAATGCATTCGTTAACACTTCTCAGAGATATTGTCTGAGTATGTCTGTCAGAAGCTCAGTTGCAGATGTCTAGGTCACACAACCTGACATTCACAAAGAAAAGGGCTGGAAAGGGTCCATGCCAAACCCTTAGCAGCCATGGAAATTCTATCTACAACCATGGACATTAGCTAACAGCAAATGCTGGATAATGTTGCCTTTTTGCATAATTACAGTCCCAGCATTAGTCACATTTTCTGTTCAACCGAAACCTGGACAAGGGGCATATATTAGTTTCACAGTGTATGGTAAAAATACCAGAGGCTAGAAAGGATCAATGTATAATTTTAGGGCACAGGCTGGAAGGGATATATGAAACAACAGGCTCTACTAAGATGTCATAGGCATTTTCCCCTTTGGCTTCACTAACACACACAACGTCACAATAATGAGTGCCATTGCATATTGCAAAGTAAATTGAAGAGCATGAAGCTAAGAATGATTGTTTAATAGTGGTGGGGAGGTTCTATTTTTAGCCTAACCTGCCACTGTCTGATGGCTTCAGAAAGCATATTAACATTGCAGCACTAATGTAGAGCATTTGCTAGATGTATGTTCTATTTATCCTTCTGTGTGTAGTGATTATAATAATGATACATTGTGTTGTGGCAGGTTCATCAGTAATTTATTAGAAAGATGTGGCTTCACTGCTTCTTTTCACGTTATCAGATGTAAAACTTTTGTAAAATGCTACAATTTCACTGAAATGTTGAGTGGGCAGTCTTCAATGGCAGGAATTTTTCATTTCCAGAACATTTCATTTGCTTCTTCCGCTATTAAATGTAATTTGTGTGTCTGATTTGAGGGAGTTACAAAAACTATAAAAGTAACTGATTTGTTTGATATCAGTTTGAAGTGGGGGACATTTCGTTAAATTAAAAGACGACTGCTTAGCTGTTAGCTAAATCACTACATTAAACAAAACTTGGTAGAAGCTTCTCTGTAATAGTTTGGAAAATTCACTTTATCTCTGTATACAGGCAGTCCCCGGGTTACGTACAAGATAGGGACTGTAGGTTTGTTCTTAAGTTGAATCTGTATGTAAGTCGGAACTGGCGTCCAGATTCAGCCACTGCTGAAACTGATCAGTTTCAACA